ATATTCTTAAATATACTTTCATCAATGTTTTTAAAATGCCAATTAAAATTCACAAATTTTTTTAATTATGGAAAAAAGAAATATCATGGATTGTATAAAACTTCGTGAATGTGTATAATAGATATATAAAAAGAGTTATCTTTTCCAGATGCTCCACATTTTTTTTTCTTAGAAACCTTCTTGCTAAGAAGATTTAATCAAAGGTGTAAAGATGATTTGCTCTACAACTCTGTATACAGTTAAAAGATTTAAAATGAAATTTGGTTTTAGTATAAAATCTTTAGACTTAAAAAGGTTAAAAACAACGTAAAAACCACAAATAATGCCCCATGAAAAATTCTTGAGCTTAAAATCTAAAATATTGGAAAATCATAAATAATTTATTAATCCATTTAAATTCTATTATCAAATGAGATAAAAAAGAAAACAATATTTGCGTTTTGGTCAGAAATCAACTCCTCAAAAAAATGTCTGGTGCTTACAACTTGGTTGCTTAGCAACGGAGAAACACTAGGTAGTTCTTTCTTGGCGATCACATAGTTCGTTTGAGATTATCTTAAATTGCGCCTGCTGCTACGGCGATAATATTTGGCTATTTTTGGGATACTACCCCAAACATATTCAAAGCACCCAAATTTATGGCCCAATTTTTTCGAAATTTTGTCTACCCCTATATTTTTAGGGTCGGGAGTCCAAATATGTTTATTTAGAAGTTCGTTTTGCGTCTGATTTCGCAACTTAATTAATAGTTAGTGCTAATTAATTAGCATATTTGAGGTCCCCCCTTTGAACCATTTAGATTTGACACGTAGTACGTGGAAAAAGGATCTTTAGAACGAAAGTTATTCAGAGTGATATCTTTTTCATTGTGCGCGCAGTACATACACGCACATAAACATTCTGATTTATTTAAATCGGTAGTTTATATTTTACTTTAAGTGATTATAATAATATTCATATCAGTATAAAATATTTTCCTTTGGAGACACGACTAATTCAAATTGCATGGCGTGAAGCTGTAATTGTTTTTTTTTACTCTTTTTTAATGTTTTTATATTTTAAAAATATATAAAACAGGAGCTGCTAAATGCATTCGTTTTGAAGATAAAGATGAATATTTCAATAAAAGAGTGCTGTTTATCGCCATTTCTAGATGTATTTTGTAATTGTTTCTAATGCCACTTGCCAATACCAGCAAGTCTGTTTGGTGAAAGCAAGCAAATTTAAAGCAGAGGGTGCGTTTCTAGTTTTTCATTGGAGCCATCTATAACCAAGAATAAGACTCCAGCCAGACGCACGTCACAGCCCGTTTACAGAGTAGACCCATTCATCCACAGATCGCAATTTTCACCTGAACCAGAGGACGATCAATCTCCAATTCAGTACCGCCAGAGGTATTTGTTACGGGAACATGGAGGACTTTGTGACCGGACAGATTTAACATGCACCAGCCATCATTTACTACACAGGGAGTTTTCAGCCAGCGGGGATCGAACTTACGACCTCTTGGATATGGGCTCAACGCTCTATCAACCACGCTAAATATATTTTTTAAATACTATAATGACCATTTCCTAATTTATAAATTAATGTTAAAAAATAATTCACACAAAAAAAAATACACGAGTGTGTTTAAAAAAACTGAAATTATTGGAGTAACTGCGCAAATCCAGCTAAAATCATCTTAAAAAATATTAATTACATAAAAATGAACTAGCAAATGCTTAAAAACTGTGATATTTTTCTTTACTCCGAAGTAAAAAGAGTTTATTTTTTCCGGCATTAACTTGACGTACAAAACACTAATATTATCACAGGCATCCAAACCTGATTGATCCAGAAAAGCAATTATTTAATCAAAGTTTTTTTAAATCCATCGAAGTAGTTCTAATATTCATCCTCACTAGCGATTTAAAAAATTCTAAGTGTTTTTGTTTCTTCTTCGCTTAAATATCGCTTATTTGCAACCCCTAATGTGCATTATTTTTTGTCTTCATTTTTATGAAATGATATATTAAAGACTATCATTATGAAACAAACTGTATTGAAAATAAAAGTGAATAAATTAAGGGCCAAATTATAGTCTACATGTTTTATTTCTTTTTGTCTGAGAAATCTTAAAAAGGGAACCTACAACAGAATACTATTTACAGTTCAATTTGGTGGTTTAGGAGTAGAGCGTTAGCCTCCCAATCAGGTGTTGCAGGTTTTAGCATTTTCAGCAGTGGTAACTTATTTTGTAAATTGCAAATTTCAAACGATTAAAAAAAAAACTAACAAAATTTGGAAAAATACTAGAAGGTTCATTTACAAAATGAAGAATAATTTTAAGAAATAAGTCTGAAATAAAGTTATTTTTAGTATATTACCTATTCCTATTTATTAAATAAATAATAAAAATAATTATAATAATAATTATATATAAATAATTTAATAATTCCTATTTATTAAAAAAATAATAAAAACGCAAATAGATGCGTTTTTGATGGAAAAAGAGGCAATTGGCAGACAATTATTTAATCACTATTTCTTATATATAGTCGCCCTGCGGCACGAGGCGATCATCAATTTTGCCCCATTAAAAGGTATAGTTTTCTCAACAATCTAACACACACTGGTTCTTATTTCACTTCGTTTTTTTATATCTTGTTCAAACTTGTTTGTATTTCCCCTATTAATTTAATCACTTTTTTTGCTCTTTATGGCAAATGGGTTTGTCTCATGCTTTCTTCTGAGATTTTTTATTATGATACTTGGTTCCTGTTTACAGAACTAAAACTATATTAAGTCCATTTTTTTGCTTCATAATTTGTGCCTTGTTTACGATGTTCAACTTTATTTATAAATAGAATACTCTTTCTTCATATAAATACTAAAATATTTTACCTTCTTTTAATATAAAAATGAAAAAAAAATTAGCAGACTTACAGTGTTTAAGAAAAAAAAACAAGGTAAATTGCAAAATAATTTATTGCATTCGATACAGTATCACTGAAAATAAAAGTGTAAAGTTCTGGACAGGAGAAAATGAATATTTAAATAATAAATAAGGTTCAAATAAAAAATATCACAAAATATAAATATTAAAAAAAAGATATGGAAAAGATCATTCACATCATTTCAACGAATTACAAGTAAAAATTGAGCTTGATAAAAAAAACATCAAAAGATTACACGCTTATAACACATTTTCCCAATATATTTGGATGAGAAATAACATAAATTAATGCAATATAAATTAATATTAATAATATGAATTAATATTTATAATATAACAAATATTTATAATAGTAGTATTATAGATAAAAATTCACATAAATAATTCGTAGAGAGTTTTAAAAGAAAGTAAGAAAACTAGATAAAAATTAAACCCATCCAAAAAAAAGGCTTAGACTTTTCTGAACTAAAATAAAATTTCATAATATTTTTTAGATGTATAGTACACTAGATAAAAAAAAGGGACTACTTTGAATAACTTTTAATTTAATATTTAAAAAAGTCTATCTTGATTTCTAAGGAACCATTACATTTGGCCGATTTCGATCAAATTTTACATTCAGCCATGTAAAATTACATTCTTTAAAATGTTGTAAAAAATTGTAAGCCTTACAATTCAAATTTTTTTCGACCATTATTAAATAAATTTAAAAAAAAAAAAAACAATAAATAATTACACGAAGCTGAAATCTGACATAGTTTTGGAGCTAAGATTAAGAGGAGACTATATCACATGAGAAACTTTTCATCAGGTATCCTCTTATACCTCCATAAGTAATTTAAAATATAGAAAAGTGAATTACGGCAAACCTAGAGTGAGAAATGAAGTTTTAAATACAGAAAAGAAATTTTCACAACATTAAAATGGAAACAAATTATGAGAGGATAATTTAGGATTATGCAATGGGGAACATTCTCTTCTAGTAATTTGTTTACATTTTGATGTAAATTAATTTTCAGCAATTGAAACTTCCATGACTTTCTATAGTTTGCCTAAAGTAAAAACTCCCCATGCCATTCGCCTGGATATATGGCATTGACTATGGTAACCAGTTACAACTATTTTAAGTAGGGGTGTGGGGTGACAGGTTTTAGCTTGGGTCGGCGAGAGAAAAGGAAACTTTTTCTAAGGTCTACTGTGTTAGCCCTACTCAGACTTTGTGATGGGGGAGTTCTTACCATAGACAAACTATACATCATAGTTATAAAAGTGAAACAGAATTTATGATGAAAAATTGCTCTTTCTCTTAATATAGGGCAAGTCCACAGTTACCCACATCAAAATTAAACGGTCCATAATTCAACAAAAACATATGGGACTCAGATTTTCTGCCACTCGATGGTAGAGCAGATTGCTTGGAATGTATATCTTTGAACTTCAGTTGTCGCTCAAGGCAACATCATAATGTTTAGCCAGGAAAAGCGAAAATTTATGTAATTATTCTCGAAAGTATTATTCTCAACAATGAAAAGTTTCGCAAAGAATAACACGATGTAGCAGCATTCAATAACTCAATGGCTACACAATTATATCGCATTGTTTCATGGCAACTGGACTGATGAGAAAAAAAAAGCCTTTAAAACCTCAATTTTGGGTGATGAAAAACTAAGATAAATAGGAATGAAGTTTTGGAAGGGTATTTCTTCAGATTGTTAGATTTAAATTTGTTTAATTTTAAAGTCATGCAGAGTGTTTAAATTAAATAAATAGGAAGAAAAAACCTGTATAAACATTTATACAAAGATAAATGACATGCTTATACACAATATGGTAATAAAATTAATGCAGTAAACTAATGTTGAAATGAAAACAAACACAAAATGTAACTATAAATAAATTAATAAATAAAAGAGTCAAATAAATTGATGCTTTGGGCTTGAAAGACTCAATAAATATAGCTTATTTTTTCTAGTAGCTATTCAAATTCAACTTAAGGCACAAATCTGTCCAAGCTTCTGCCAGGTGAACTATGCCTTGATCTTACATTGCATTGCATCTTTTGCAATTCTAGCATTAGTAACTCAATCTGACAAGCATCTAAATATAAAAAATAAAGCATTGAACAATTAAAAAAAAGAGAGAAATGCAGCATATTCGCAAAGAATAGCACGATGTAGCAGTATTCTATAACTCAATGGCTACACGATTATATTTTACTGTTTTATGACAACTAGACTGAAGAAAAAAAAGGAAAGAATTTAAAACCTCAATTTTGAGTGGTAAAAAACTAAGATAAATATAAATGAAGCTTTGGCATGGTATTTCAACAGGTTGTCAGATTTTTAGATGCATGCAATTTTAAAATCATGCTGCGTGTTTAAATTGAATAATTAAAGAGAAAAAAAATACCCGTATAAATATTTATACAGAGATAAATAACACCCTTATACATAATATGCTAATAAAATTAGTGCAGTAAACTAATGTTGAAATGAAAATGGACTAACACAATATGTAACAATAAATAAATTACTAAATAAAACAGTCAAATAAATAGATGCTTTGGGCTCAAAAGACTCATTAAATATTGCTTATTTTTCCTAGAAGCTATTCAATTTCAACTTAAGGCACAAATCTGTCTAAGCTTCTGCCAGGTGAACTATGCCTTGATCTTACATTGCATTGCATCTTTTGCAATTCTAGCATTAGTAGCTCCATCTGACGAGTATCTAAATATAAAAAAACAAAAGATTGAGCAATTAAAAAAAGAGAGAAAGGTAGCAGATTAGTGAATAAATTTTTTTTCATAGCAAAAAGAAGAATACATAATTTTATACCATGTTCTCTGACTGCATCTTGATTGTGCCAAAGGGAGCCACCTGGCTTCCAGACTTGCTTTAGGTCTGGTGTTCTAAATCATTAATAAATACTATTAGCATCTCTTACATACAGGGCTGTTTATAATTAAAATAAGGTTACTAAGAGGCACATGTAATGCAATTATATAGTAGAAATGGCAGAAAATGTAACAAAAAATTTTAGTTTTAAAAACGTGAAGCTGGTAGAGGTTTTTTTTTTAAATTTTTCTTTTTTATTGCAAAAGCACTTGACTTTACATCATTGGCCCCCATGCATCGAAGATGCATGAGATTGGAGCATATAAGCTGGTAGAGGTAAAAGCTACAAAATTTCTCAAGAATTAAATTTTTAATAAAAAGGGCATGTGCCAAGTTTTTATGTAAAAAAAAAAAAATATGATCTTTATACTTTAAAAATAAAAGGATATTATTTTACAAAAACTGATTAAAAAGTTTGACCAAAAATAGATAATATATGGTGAAGATATATAAATAATATATGTTGAAGATTTAAAAAAAATTGCTTATGAAATAAAGCTGTATAACAATCACATTTTAAGAATTTAACCTTTCATTATTATGTAATAAAAAGAAGTTTGCTTTTTAATCTAAAAATTTAATACAAGCTAAATAAAACTTAACTTATCTGAGCTCTCATTCCATTAAAAAAATTTAACCTCAAATATTTCTTCAAATGAAATTATGACTTAATATTAACAAAAAAAAAAAAAAAAANAAAAAAAAAAAAAAAAATACTTTTCTTAACAGAAGAACAAATTTAAGGACAAAAACAAAGGAATTATTCTCTTGCCATCATCATAATGAAAAAAATAATTCGGTTGCTTAAGTTACAGAATTTTCCTTAGTCATTTATAACTTTTGAAATTTTACTTGTTCTGTCTATTTTTCAGTTTGAAAATTAAAAAAAAGATAAAAATCAATCAAAACACTGACAGTTTTCTCCCATGAAATTGGTCAATTATTATGCAAATTTTACACTGACTAATATTAAAATGCCAGGTTTTTTTTTTTTTTTTTAAAAAAAAATAATGCTAACAAACAGATGCTTGTTTGCAAATGGACAACCACTATCAAAAAATTTAAGAACAATAAAACAAAATTAACACAAAATTTAAACAACAAAACAGAACAAAAATTAAGAACAATTGGTCCCAGTGTTTGAGATAATATTAAGCACAACTTGTTACACCAAGCAACAAATGCTTTCAAGCAGATTCATTTTATCTATAAACCTCCAGTATTTTCTTAAAATTCATAAAATTAATGTATGTTTACTTTAGAGTATAGTAAATTCTTCTAATTCATACAGTTTCAAAAGCTTAGCTCGAGTTTGAGGCAATTAAACTGTAGCTTTTACATTTTCCCTCGAAAAAAAAAAAAGCCTTGAAAAATAACCTTAAAAGCTCAGTTTACATTCAATATTGGTTTCTAGCATCATTCAATAAAAACAATCTTAATCTTGAATAAAAAATTACAATTCAATAAATTATTTATTATGATTTCTTACACTGAAAAAAAAAATAGATTAATGATAAATGGAATGAATTTTTTTCCTTCAAGAAAATTCCCATTTGTGAAAGATTTTTTTTATTAATAAAGAAATGCTAGTTTAACTAGACATGAGTAATTATGTATGTCTTTTTTTATATAAATTATTTGACCTAGAGAAACACAAAAAAAAAAAAAATGAGGCTCCATTATAAAGTACAGTTGCTTTTACTTGTTCTTGTTTTGAAAAAATGCCAGAAATTAAATACACTGAAAATAATTGCTTGTAGTAAATCAATCTTAAAACTATGAATCACTCCCAGATCATGCACCTGGCAAATGCATTGGGGGGGGGGAGGTAACAAAAATGACTTTCACTTTTTTTTAAGAAAGAAATATCCGGAGATAGTTGTCAATAGATAAAGTAATACTTTTTTTTCTTCTTCCCAATTAAATGGTCCAAATCAAGTAAAAATTGAGAAAAAAAAATGTATTTGTCATTTATGGTAGATTAGTGGTAGACTAGATGGTGTGCCCTTGTCTTCTGGATTGGGCTAAAAATTACAAGGATACGGAGTTGAACATTAGTAGCTAAATTGGGTTAGCTGTTCAACGACGGTTATAAAATTATAATATAAATAGATGCTTCTGAGCCGTGCTGGCTCCGGGGATAGAGCTTTGGCCTCTCAATGAGGTGAACCAATTTCGAATCCCAGCGATGGCTAGCTGATATGAATTCTGCAACCGGCTAACACCAACCACAGTGCTGATGTAAAATATCCTCAGTGGTAGACTAGACAGTTAAGAGTCCCCTTGCTGTCAGACTAACCATGGGAGGTTTTCTTCTCAGTGTTACTCAAATGCGGGTAAATTCCATCAAAAAGTGTTCCATGAAGGCAAAATTTTTCCCAATACTTGATCCTGGAGCTCCCTTGTCTTCTGGATTGGGTTCAAAATTACACGGCTATGGAGTTGAACATTGCTAGTCGTAAACTCAAAATTGGGTCAACCGTTCGGAGACAGTTATAAAATAAAATAGATGCTTTTCTACTTTTTCGATGATGCATAATCATTAATCTAAAGTACAAATTTGTTTTGCTATTTTAGTCTCAATTGCATACATGAAAATATAGAACAGTATTTATCGCAAACCTAAAGTTAAATGAGAGCTTAACCTAAAATTGTTTTTTTATGAAAAGGATTTTCTTTTTTGACCACACCCCCTCATTTACACATTCTTCTTTTCAAAATGAAATAATTAAAGAAATTATTTGCAAACATTAGAAAATTTTCTGCACAATAGATGCAGGAATTTGATCTAAACAGTTATTATTAACATTATAAGAATAGCATTAATGATGGGACCATTGAAACAAGATGATACATGTAGGAAAATAAAAGATGCAGATAAGATGGGTCGAGATTCTACTGTATTGAAAATTACATAATTCTAAAATCTAAAAGGTGAAAAATTAATTTCATTAATATTTTGATTTAATAAACAATATATTTACACTAATTGATATTTGATTGAACAATAAAAAGCAATGTATAAAGAATTTTACCCATCAGTTTGTTCCAAAGCTGAGAGAAGAGGAGTGAAAACAGAAGGTTGTTTTTCTTCTTTTCTTGCAATTCCAACTAAAAGAGTATAACACTATGGTAAAAATCTAAACATAAGATTCAGGCTTTTATAGTTACCAATCATTTATAAAATAATAGAATAGATTATGAATTCTTTAGAAATTATAAAACACTGGTGAAATACTGAATAAATACTGCTATTCTGAATAAAGTAAATACGTTGACGGAATGTAGAGTTTATTGGTAAAACCACCTGAATTGGCTGTTGCGGTATTGTATACCACATATGAATATTTCCTCATAACGTGTAAAATACACATGTTAAATATGGGGCAATCAATATCATTATGTACCAATATGGTGTATTTTTGTTAAATTAATAACTTTTAATTAAAAATAATGGCCGTGATCATATAGTGCTTAGTACATAGCATTGTGATCCCAATAACCCAGGTTTGCATCCTGGTCACAGCACCATATTTTATGGTGAGGATATTAAGAATTATTGAAAAAGGTTATACATAAAATGGCCGAAAAGATAAAAAGGAAAAACATCAGCAAAAATAAGCTTTAAAATTTAGAACAATTAATTATAAAGTATAGTGTAGAAACAAAGCTAGTACCACCGGATCCGGCAGACACATCAGCTTAAAAAACAATAAATAAAAAACTAAACTCAGTGGCGCGACAGCCCATAGAGGTCCAAGGCCAACTATGCCCACCTCAGTTTTCTGGACCTTGGGCTCTGGGGTGCAGGAGCAGGTGTTCCGGTTAGGTGGTCAGCCAAACGCGGAACCCCGGGTGTTTAGTTCCCAAGCATGCTTGGTACTCATTTATCTACCCACTGAAGGGATGAAAAAAAACAATAAATAGTTAAGTTAAAAAAAATCTTTGTTACAGCAAAATGAAGGAGATTAAAAAATAATCACTGGAGAACATTTTTACAAATAAAAGAAAACATTTATTTTAAACTTAATTGTGAAAACAAAAACACACACCAACATATACAAAAACAAGGGAGTTAAATCAACTTAGTTGCCAGGTAAGTGAGAAGAAATCCAAGAGAAAAAAAATAAGTCATGAGAAAATTTACTGAAAATTTACACTGTGAAATAATGCCTTTCTTTTCCGTTAGCTTTATTGACGCAGAAATGAAAAATTGTTGCCTCGGGAAAATGACCGTGCATCCAATGAGTGTTTAAGACTGAATTTAAATAAGCCAAATTTAGCAAGAAAAGGGTAAAACTAATGCCAAAATTAGGTTTGCTGAACCGGTGACACAGGATTAAAAAGAACGTTCGAGGATCTTCGGTTTTTTACCGACAAAGGATTAAAGTTACCTGAAGGTCAGAGATGGACAGCAGATGTTAACATTCTTGGGGGAGCTGTTGACGGCTAAATTATAGTTAGTCTTAAACAGGTGATGAGAGAATTCTCATACACAAAAGAGTACACATTTATTCCCAGGAGAAAAAGATATTTGGTTTAAGATGGTAACAATACAAAGGCAACATCGAAATAAACCATTAACAAACAAGGAAATGACAGAGAAAGAAATTGTGAAATAAAATAAGAATATTGTTACCTTTTTTTAAAAAGAATTAAATTACAGATTAATCCACATTGATATTAACCATTCAAAATAAAATTAATATTCTAATATACAATTATTTAAATCATAAACAATTCTTTAAAATATTTTAACCTAATATTGTGGAAGCAATATATAAAACAAATAGTTTAGTTGATACACAAACTAATAATTCAACATTGATTACATTAAAGAGGCAGTAATTAAATCACAACCATTATTCTTAATTAAAAATTAATAAGTTAACAAAAATACACTATATTAAAGTACATAATGATAATGATTGCCACAAATTTAACATATGTATAATTTGTCAAGTTTATATGTAATAAAATATTTGTACGTTATAAACAAATATTCATATATGGTATACAATACCATAGCTATTTTGCACTAAACTTAAACAATATTACAAACTCAAGGATAAAAAGGCAATCAGTGCAATAACATAGCTGCCAACCTTAGGAATAAAAAATTATGAACACTATATGCGACAAAATTATACGCACCAATTACAAGAGTAAGACAAAAATTTAACTATTAAATAATAGTATTAATAGACATATATTTAAATATCTTATGTAAGTTAGTAAAACAAAACTATAAACACTATCTTTGGTGGGAAATTTATAATATTATATAATTAGGAATATTGGTATAATATTTTAAAAACAACCATTACCTTATATATAATTATTCTTCTTCAAATTATAAAACACAAGTAAATAATAATCATAAACAAATATTTCTGATGCAACTGTTTAAATACTACAACAAATTTTTTAAAAAAAATAATAATAGTTGTTTAAGATTCAATTTAGTGAAATGATCAGCAACAGCTATTGGAATAGTATTTTCCAATAAAAAGATACTAAAAATTACTTCTGCACAATAATCACAGGTAGCGCCCTAGCGGCGATACTGCAATTTTACAAAAATTCGGATTTTTTATAAAAATATCAGATTCGATTTGAAAATTAGGAACAAATCCGAAAAATTCTGAACAGTTGGCAGCTATGCAATAAACTAAGTTTAAAGGGGGAAAAAAAGGAAATATCTCTCAGTTAAATTGGGGTTATGAGTTTATTTACTATGGTAATTAACTGAAAAAACTACCACTTGAAGAGAATAAATGGAAAGGTGCAACAACCCTACATAGGAATATAGGGATTAACATAAAAGAACAAAAGTGCAAAAATTAACATAGGTCAACAAATCCCAGGTGCCAGGTCACACAGGAGAATCAATTTTTCAACATTATTATTATTCTGCATTAGTGTTATTGTGCCACTTATTTTTAAATTATTATAAATAGTAGGATCCATTAGGGGAAAAAAACGAAATTGATCCTGCCCTCTTTGCTGGAAAATTGTATCAATTGATTTTAACGCTAAAACTCAAAGGTAATATTAATGTATACATCCAATTTAATGTTTGAATTAAAGGAAGAAATAGTAATTTACCTATGATTTTAGTGTTTACTTCATAGTTTGTTTTATTAAATTATAGGAATTACAATTTAAAAGATTTATTTCTTTACAATTGGATTTTTAATTTAATACTTAACTCTTTTACTGCAAAATACACAGACATGATCACATATCACTAAAAATGGTCCAGCTTCTAGAATTATTGTGACTTTATTACATTTACTCCAAAATAAACACTAACTGCGAGAAGATTGCTTTTTATTTTTAGGTGAATGTAATAAAGTGGCAATTCTAGAAGCTGGTCTCTAAGAATTTTACCGGCTTTTAAAACTTTAAAAATTTTGTCAGTCAGGGTTATCAATTAGTATACAGAAATAAACATATAAATGTAAAGATGCAAAAGGGTGAAATACATATAAGGGATACAAACTTGAGATGAGACAAGCTCAGTCTAAAACTGATATCTGTTAACAAATTTGATAAAGTTTTCAGCTATTTTTCATACATTTTAAACTAAACAAATACATAAAAGCCTGTTTAAACTGGTTATCAAAAATAGCAAAATGGTAAAGTTAAAAAAAAAAATGAAAAAACATTGCACTTAAATTACATATTCATTTTAATACATTAAATAACATTATTCATTCTTTAATAATAAGTAACATTAAACTTAAAACTAATTAACTTAAAATTAATTAAAAACTATTATTAATATATTAAAATATTATTAACATTATTAATTTTTTGGAAATATAATGAGTAAAAGTAAAGTAGAAGCTATAGAGCAGCAAAACCATATATGCTCCTCACCCCTACGACTTGCACTTAAAATATGTAATGCAATGGATTTAGAGCAATGCAGCCAAAAGAATCAGAGTTGATGTGGAGTCATGAAGAAGTCAGATGCAAGGATTCATAATTTGGCAATCCCTATTCAGGGGTCTGTTTAGAAGAAATTTGGGTCCGTTAACGGACCCTTCACAAAATATCTTTTCATAAAAACAAACCATTCACAAAATATTTTAACTTAAAAACGGACCCTTCACAAAATAATTTTTCTTTTAATCGGACCCTTTACAAATTTGTTTATCTTCATTATAGTTTTGTTAATCGAATAAACCTTTCTCAGGGGGGAAAACAAGAAAGATGGATGTAAACGAATTAAGTTTTGTCTTCGGCAGACACTTCTTCCATTATTCTTCCAAAACGAATATTCTGCCAACAGAACTAAAGGCTAAATACCAAATATTTGTATGTTGCATCTCTAATTTAGAAGCAGCAATTGCTGTTTATTTTTGAAAATTTAATTTTTTTTATTATAATTTTACAGTGCTGAGCATAATCTTGTATCTACTTACAATTTAAAAACTCCTTGAAAATTTTTTTTGCAATAACCCTATTTGCACAAATTCATAAAAGCAGGATCCTGGTTGAAAGAATGTGACTTAATGTTTATTTTATATTCCCAAATTACGAGTAATTTTTTCACAATTTTACAGAAACAGAACCTTTTACAAAATGTCTGGACAGACCCCTGTTATTACATTTGCACAGTGCTCCGTAATCATTATACTTGCATATTTATTTATATTTTTTCCAAAATTGATTTTAAAATAGTAATGGTATACTCATTTGGCGTTATAAACAACTATTTAAGAGAAGAAAAAAAAAGGTTATGTTAATTCACTCAGACGAAAGCAGGATGAAAAACTCTAAAACCAATTGTATTGGAAGTCTTTTAAAAAAACACCATAAACTCCTTTTTGAATCTTCCAGCCATCAAACAGGTTTTGGTAATTTCAGTTCTGCTTTTACCATTACATTTTGTTAGACTTTTTTTCCATCTCTTTTAACACACATTAAACTTTCTGTACACACATTTTCTCCTTTTACTTCATTTTAGATAAGGATTTTAAAGATAGATATTAAGGGTGTTCCTTACAGAACACTCTGTATAAAATAGATTTAATTAAAAATTAAACACTTTTAATGGCAGAATTCTTTGTAGTTGAACCAAGAACTATATTAGTTACCAAATACACTCACCTGCAAGACTTTCAGCAGATCTATTCACAGAACCACTGCCATCTGAAGAAACACTTAGCTTTGACCCCACCTTAGAAAAGTAAAATGTTTATTGTTAAAATATAGTACAAAAATAAAGTGACCAACAAAAATATTACAAACAGTATTGATATTAAATTAAAATAATATGACTAAGTAAAAAGATTTATATCCTTCGATAAATGTTAAATTATTTGAACTTATTAAGTTAAAACAAATCATTCAGAAAAACATTCCCTAATAATTCTGAAAATTAGTTCAAATAATTTTATACTATATTATAATTTTTTTTTTGTCAATGCAACATAAAAAATTAAAACATAAAAATTCAAAGTTTTGAAAATATAAAAAATCACCTAAATTTTTTCTTTTAATTCCCCCTTCGAAAAGTAAATAAATAAGGGGAAAAAAAAACAGTCAAAAGAAAGAATTAAAATGAAATCAAAGCATACAATTAGATATAGTTTAAATTAGAGATGGGTCTTTATCAGCGTATCTGATATTTTGTACTTGTACAGTTGTCCCTATTTAATTGCATATTGAGTTATCCAATAACCTACTTAGGCAAATATAATTTAATTGGGCCATATTATTTATATGAAACTAATGTTAAGTTTCCTTGTTTAAATGAATATTTTTGGGTTGCTTAATTGTACAAAAAAGTGCTAAGACACACTGAAATGATTTTTTTTCCTTTTGAGAATTTTTTAACTCTAGAATAGAATTTTCAATTAATTAAGAAGATGAGATTAGAATAAATGGTTACTTCAATAGGATCTTCCTTCTCCAAACAGGTGTAAGGAGGTATATACTTAAAACATTTATTTTTAAAAAAAATTGTATACAGGTTTTTATTTTTAAACAATTCAAATGTATTTTTCTGGATAACTTCTGTTTAGTTGAAATCTCTGTGGAGCTAATATAATCTAAGTATTTATTTGATGTTTATGATTTTGAGATAATTGATTTTTTGCCTAAGTTATCAATTACTGCTGAAATGCATATAATTTAAGTATCACATTAATTTATTATTATTATATTCCTTTTTAAAATTATTTTATTCCTTGATTGTAATAGAAAATAATATGTTTTGTAGTTAAAAAATGAAGGAGAAGTAATGTGATTGAGAAGATTTGATGTTGTTTCCATCCTTGTTACAGAAAAGTTCTTCTAAAGTCCAGTTATATTAAACCAATTACTGCTTTAAGGAAAAATTTGAAAAAGTTGATCCTAGTGAGAAAAGTTAGTGAAATTTATAGGGGAAAAAAAGGTATAATCTCATGTTGCTTTGACGATTGAAATGTTTGGATGAACAGATTCCACTGAAACATGCCCCACAATGCCCCTTGGACTGGTACTATTTCGAAATTGATTTTAAGATGCATTATAAAGTATTTAATATTCTGTTGTTGAACAACAAACTGAAAGCTATGATTAATAATGTAGATACAAATTAGAATTAAATCACTTGCATATAAATATGTAAATTTAAAAAGTGATTAAGACAAGAGGCTCTAACAAGTTTATAATCACATGAAAAGCCATTGTTAAAGTAATAAATGATAATTTAAGATCATACCTGATTTGTTTATTTATCTGTAAATTATGTTTGATTAAATTAATTTGTCTTGAAGATAGGAAAGAAATGTAAAAGTCTCTTTATATAGCCATATTATTTAAAAATTTTGGATGAGGCTGGTTAAAATTTATTATTATTAAGGTGTTGATCCATTCCCCTCATTAAAGAAAATGCTTGTAAAATTCTTTTAGCAGGAATATGCATTTATATTATAATATACACAAATTATTATTATTGCATAGGTTACCGGCAAAATATGAAACGCCGGCATTCTATAAAATGCCTAGGCATTGTATATAATGCCGGATGTCTTTAGGCAAGGTATGAAAAAAACGTCCTGATGAGGTTATTATATAAATGATGTGTATTTCTCAAAAATAAAAATGTTATTCAAATCGCGTAAAGAAAAATGAAAGTCGTACAAAACATAATTTATGCCTTTCTTATTAAGGGAAACAAAATTTTAGTATAAAAAATTCACATTCAAGTCACAATTATTTTCAGTTTAGAAACAAATATTGCAAAAAATATCCATTTCATTATCTTTACTAGCATGGCCATAGGAGATTTTATACTTTGCTGGTTTCTCATTTGGCATTCTATAGAATGCCTAGGAAATGCGTGAAATATAAATCACTTCATACATTGCCGGCTAGTTTTAGGCATTACATACAATGTCGGATTTCAAATTTTGCCGGTAATATATACACTAAATCACTTAGTTCAAAGGGAAGTTATTAAATTTTTTCCCTTCCTACTCATGCCAAACTTGGGTAAGTGATAAAAGGTTAAAGGTAGTTTGCTCTCATGCTTTTTTTTAAATTTCATTAATGAATTTTAGTGGGTAATTTTTTAGAAGCCAAACTTTAATTTTAAATAGAGTTTTAAACGGGAGTACAAGACTAATATTGTTTTTAGGTACCAGTGTAAAATAATAAACTTAATTTTTTTAACTGTAAAATTTAAATTGACCATAGTACAGGGGATCTTTAAGATGGTGTCAAATCTTTCTGGCAGTTATACAGTAAACAAGGTTTTTTTGCCCTCTTATTATGATTGTTAATTGATTATTAAAATGAGCTTATTTTCTCATATCATCATATATACTTACCATTTTAAAGTAAAATTTTGCAACAACATAGCATTTAACACTGACTTATGCATTTCCCTTATAATTAAATAATAAATTTTTCTTACAGTTAAGTAATTTAAAAATAGAATTATAATGAAGAAAAAAAATCTTTAAAACTTGGTATAAAATTTAATAAGAACATGAATTAGCAATTCAATGAGTTAATACATAACAAATGAGATTTTAAATTGTGAAAATATGAAATTGTCAGTAAGTTGAACACTTGAAAAGCTTGGAACAATATAATAAGCCAAGTTTTTCTATTATTAAATATAGGCTTTTTAAAATCCCTCTTAGTAACTAGTTAAGCAGTAGTATGTCTCTGTCTAGTGCTGCCATTCAATGCTCCATAATTATTAAGGAATAATTTGATGCAAAACAGCCTTTTGAAAAAATGTGGCTTATTACTGTATTGTTTAAAGCCTTTAATATATAACAACTTTCAAAGTAAAATGGAGCAATATAACTTTTACAACAATTTTCTACAAATGACAAATTTTCGTAAAAAAAAATATTCTTTAAAATAATAACAACTGAAAAAATATTCTTAAAGATTAATACAAATTCATACTTCTCAGCAGATGCAAAGATACCTACCTTTTTCAATTCAGCACTGTTAGGTTTTAATGCCTTCAACCATTGAATCAATGCCCTTTCACTGTGACAAGGTGTAATCCGATCCAAACCAATGTTTTCATTTGGTATGGGCTTGGTTGATTGGGGAAGGCAAATTAAATCAAAATATGTCAGCATGTCTTGGAATACGTCAGAAGATCTTTTAGATGCATTGACAGTATGATTGCGAAATGCACAGCCCTAAATTGAAAAAAAATATATATTTATGAAATGAAATGTATGATCTAAATCAGGTAATGAACATTGAAACAATATGCAAAGACATCGCCAGAGAAGTATTTTAAGAGTTCAACTCTACTTTTGTTTCTGAAGAGACTATTGATGAATAATAATTGAACTTTTATTGAATAATTACATTTTTTTTTAAATATTAAAACTCAAAACCATATTTGTCCTGCAATTGGTAGAAAATATATTTAATAAGGATCTTAGGATACAGAAAATGCTCCTTATTCAGTGGCTCGCTAAATGTGAATTAATGTTAGCTACCAAACTTTAAAACATGGAAAAACCATTTATGTGAATTGTATCTAGAAAATTTTTATTGAGAAGTTTACGATGATTGTTAAGCTTAACAAACTTTTGTTCAATTTAACTTCACCTGTAAAATACTTAACGCATTAAATGTTAAAATTGTATTTTTTATAGCTTCAAAAAACTTTCAAGATTTTATAATAACTATACAGCAGGTAAGTGCAACAGTCAGTGCTTTACGTTGAACTTTTTTTCAAATTACTACATTGTAATCACTATGGATAATGTACTACGTGTTTTGTTTTTAAAACTATTTTCTACTATTTCTGATACTACAGTCGAACCTGTTTATCTCGAATCTCACGGGAAAGGTGAAAAATTCGAGATAAAGAGGTTTCGAGTTATACAGGTACTATAAAAAAATTAACTTTAATTTCGAAATTCTATTAAAAGTGCTTTGTTTTTAGTAGAAAAATATAGACATTACATTAAATTAATTATACCACATACATCTTGTGATATCCCACTGTCCAAACAATAATTTCTCCGAGCCTTAGATTCATACAAAAGAACGTCTTTACTTCACAGCCACTTTGTGCAAATTCTTACATATCTTTATTCACTATCACTACACTTGATCACTGCGCCATCACAACATGAAGGCATGATACATCTATTTACATAACAGTTTTTTAACATACATTCAACACTGAAAATAATTTTTCCAAGACTTTTGACTGATAACCTTATTTGTTTTGATTATCCTTAGAAAATTCCTCACAGATCGTTTTCTATAGTTCACTTTAAAACTCTTAATTATCCTTTGATTCATCGGTTGCAATTTTGAGGTCAAAATGAATTTCTTTCTTATCGATGTTGAAAAGCTAAGCCCTCGTGGTCACTACTCATTAACCTCTCACTTACTGCCACAATCATTGTATTCCTTTCCAGTTAAAGAAGTGCAGGGATAGTGATTGAAATTCCAAGTAATACCCCCAACCTGTTCATCCCCACTTCCTGCGGATTAACGAAATTCATCTCTGTCTACGAGTTCTATTCATAAGGAAAGTTTTGATATTTGTGCTCTATCATTAAAAATTCGAGAAACAGAGGTTTTGAAAAATAAATTTCGATATAAACACGGAAAATATATTGATTTTAGGCAGTAAATGTAGGGAATTTTAAAAATTTGGAGATATAGAGGTTCAAGATAAACAGGTTCAACTGTATTTCATTCTTTCATTTCTCTTGTTCAATCTGGGGAAAGTGAAGAAGAAAAAAATGGCACTCTAAAATATCAGTACATTATCAAGCAATACAAAATATCAATACAAATTTCTCATATTAGTAGAAATATTTTCATGAAGATTTAAAATGGCATACTTGAAAAATACAAGATTTACGGTAACATAATATCTGGTGCATAAGATTATTGGGGTTTTACTGTATATGAATCTGAAGAAGAGATCATAATAATACTTACAGATAAAAGAAATAAAGGGTCTATTGGATCAAATTTATAAGCTTTAGCTCCACAACAAGAAAAGGTACCAGGTTTGTGCACATTCTCAGCTTGATCAGTTGAAGGGAATGTAATTGTTTCTTTATGGTAAGGACACCTGTTAAAGTCACAACAAGAAAAGTGAATGCCACAGGTAACACATTGCAAACTGTTAATTAGTCCCCAGACACGCCAGTAAATTTTTCTCCAAGACTGGCAAGCTTGATATTGATCTTCTAAATACCGGTCCACATTCCAAGTCATTTCTCTATTTATAAAACAAACACCAATTATTTTATAATTTAAATTAATTTACATTGTTTTAATTTTATCCATCCAAAAATTTTAAATTTTACCTTTTATGGGTATAAATTAATTCTCCTCTTGGACCTATGGTAGCTCTGAAATAAAAATTTTCAGAATGAGTCTTTCAATTAAAGCTTTGATATATCTTTAAAATGGGATTTCAATTTAATCCATCGGTTTATGTTATTTAATTAATAATTTTTAATATTACTTTATATATAATAAATCAACTCATATCAAGTAACAAAAAAAGTTGCGGGCGGTCTTTTATGAATTTATTTCAAAATTCAATAAATATCTTAATGAAACCAGAAATTAATACCTAACAGCTTTAAACAAACAAATATTAAATTAAAATTTAATAAAAAAATTAAGTTAGCTAACATTTTTAAGTAGTATTCTAGACTACCATTGTGAATATCTAAAAATTTCAAAAACTATAATGAAGAAATGGTTAATTGTAGAAATGTAAATATAATTAATTAAAGGGTATACATTTCTAAAGTAAATTAACCAAACCTTAATTGCATGCCTCAATTTTTAATTATTTTACTTGCTTTTGTCAGCCTTGCTAGATATTATTCTTAAAAGTCATGACACTCACTGAAACAGTAAAAAAAAACTAAGATTCTTTTGCCGAAAAAAATCTTTTTGTAACAAACATTTTCAGATTAATTTATACATTAAATTTCAGATAATAACCATTTCATTTCAACCACTGAAAAAGTTGAGTGTTATAATAAAATTTAAGTGCTTGAAAATAAAATTTAACATCATAATAAAACTTAATTTCAACAATTGGGCACTTGCATTGCAAGAAAAGATCACAGATACCCAAACATGTGACCTATGGCATTAACTGATTGTAAAAAGCGAAATGGCATGTTAAAGTTGAACAAGTTTTTCCACATAAGTTAGAATTCTTTTCCGTGTCTTTTACTTAACTAAGATTTATTATTTTTTAATGAATTTTATTGTAAACGAGATATATTTCGTTTTTTACACCTGGCAACTCCGATGCATAATTAGTGCTGTTTATATTCTACATGGCTTCATGCCTGTCTTTGTGTTAAGTAAGAAATATGCAGTGAAAGAATTGAAATCTTTGTAAAATAATCATCATGTAAGAACATGGAATATGTCACTTAAGAGAATTGCTACTTGACGGGCTTGGTATACACGAAATAGAATTGAAAGAACATTTGTTAACGTAAACAAATGCCACGTTTCAACAACCAATCAGGATTCAGATACCATCACTACGTCACTAGCAGGTATCACATTATTATAAACAAAAATGAAAAACTTAACTTACAATGATCAGGTTTGAGATTTTTATAGTGTTGAATACTCAACATTTTCTCATTATGTTTTTAATCAGTTTAAGAACTAACACTATATAACTAAGATGTTACAGGATTTTTATATTGATAAACAATTAAGATGAATTTAAGTTCTTCAAATGATATTACTTTAAATCTTGATAATCTTAAAATTTTAATTTCAAAAAATTTTAAAGGAAAAAGAAGAAATGAAATACTGTTTGATAAATCAAATATATTTCCTGTGAAAATTAGTTAAGCTACATATGTGGAAACATTTTATATTATGAAGTTCTTCTAAGAATAATAGCCAGGAAATTCTTTCAACAGAAAAAAAATATTTTGAATTTAAAATTTTTCATAAGTTTCCTTAAAAATTTTAACTCCAAGATTGAACTAAAATGGTGCAAGCAATAATACATAAAATCCATATGTTTAATTTGAACGAAATAATTATTACTTAACTGTAACAAATAATGACAATAGCAAATTAAAATTCAAAAGTATTTACACAAAATAAGCAATGAAAATATAGGAATATAATATTATAAAACTAATTTAAATGAAAGTTGTTACAATTTAAAAAAGACATTAACTTAAAAAATTATTAAATAATTGATATTCTTTATAAAATAAATTAAAACTGGTTTGACAGCCTTGTTGATTTGAATTAAATTGTTAAAAAAATACAGGTTGCATGATTTTTAAATTAGCTCTAAGACAATTGCTATTTTCAAAGAAGAAAATTCCACATACATAAAACTTCTACAGATTAAAACATTACAAATAGGGATATAGCTCACTTTTTCGATTTACATGGAACATATCCTTGTAATTTTGTTGCGAAGACTTGCTCACATAAACTGCACTTCATCAATTTTGGAATGATTCTTTGGTTTGGAAGTTTAGCTTCTGGTTTCAATAACCGATCTAACAGAATTTTATATAATTTCCTGAAAATACAAATATGAAGGATAAAACTAAAACTACTTTTTATAAAAATATGCAAAGAAATCCAGCTTTTTCCATGATATAATAAATACTTTGTGCAAATTACTATGCAATACATAAAACATCTACAAATAGAGAATTTTAAGAATTATTTATAACCAATAATAGAAAATACGAAAGTTCTTTTACACTAACAACGCATTTAAATTCACTAACAATATTTACTGTTCGCAGATGACTGTAAATGAGCTTGAATATGAAAAATACCTATTGTGTTTATTATAAAATATATTGAAATTTATTTGGGATTGATGGATAGTTATAACAATAGTTAAAAAAAATAATTATATCTGTTCCAATTTTGAAACATGGAAAATATTTAAAAAAGAGGTAGGAAAAGTTCAGGAGATTTTTAAAAAGAAAAGTTTTAAACTGTGTACTTTACATGAATTTATTTTTTTCTATTAAGTTATGTTTGAGGTTTACTTTATTATTTAGTAACATTACTCGTTTTAAATTCTGAAATAAACAATGATCAGAGTAAAAAATTATAATAATAATAATAAATCAAACAATTTATAGAGAATTAGGGCCAGGATAGCCTGGTTGGCAGGGGGCAGAACTCGTGTTCCCGAGAACGGGAGTTTGAATCCAGCCGGCCAAAGACTCTCTGTGTAGTAAATAATGACCGATACACGTTAAATCTGTTGGGTCACCAAGTCCTCCATGTTCCCATATGAAATTATACTTTTGGGGGTACTAAATTGAAGATTGATAATTCCCTGGTTCAGATCAAAATTATGATCTGTGGATGAATGAATGAATTCGCCATGTAAACGGGAGTGACGTGCGGGTGTGTCAGAAGTCGAATTCCTGGTCATAGACGGTGTCAGTAGAAAACAAGAACAATCGCACCCCTTGCCTTGTTGGCATATGATAACAACAACATTTATAGAGAATTATCTATAACTATATTTAATCTAGGAGCATTATCAATTAAACCATAAGACTTTGAGAAAGTGACAAAATTTAGTTGTTTACTGGATTTTCCAATGGAGTTGGAATATAAGGGTATTATAGCCTTCCCTCCACAACACATGATTTAATTTTTCAAAACATAATTTAGTTATTGGTTAATATTAGAGCATAGTAAATTTATTCAAATCAGTTTGAATTACATTTATAAGGTCAACAAAAAATATATTTATCATGAGCCTTATTATTCAATGTGATGACTTACTCTTTTATCTTACCACCAGGATCCTTTAAAGATTCCACTTCTCTGTGATTAAACAGCAATGCTAAACTGGAATAAAATTTAAAGATTAACTTGGGTTTAATCTGAAACTTTAAAAAAAATACATATAAAATATCTGTTTACCGAGTCAAAAGGTCATCATTCAAAGCACCGATTGGGCAATTATTTTCAATAACACTATTCATATGCCTGTGACAATAGTTCAAACACTCATCAACTAAAGTTGACATCTGTAGAAAATCTGCTGAAACAAGAAGGTGGATGGCATACTTTGGATCTACAAATAAAAAAGCAGTTTAGGGTATTTTATTAATAAGTTCATACAATATTATATTTAATCAAGGGCAAAAAGCATTTTAGAAATGTATACAATGCTAAGAAATGTAGCGTCAAGCTTTTACTGGAGGTGCACAAGTGAGTAGAGCTTATAAATTTAAAATGAATCAGCGAAGGTACACAGGTTTCATGGATTGTAGCGGCAGTGCAGATGAGTTTCATGGTGCTGGACAGATTTGAGAACAGAAATGGAGGAAATAGATGAGTATGAGGATGAAAGAGGCACTTGGAAGCACAAACGTAATTTCGCTGGATACACGGTAGCATAACAGTAGTGGTCCGAAGGTAGCACACGACAAGTATCGTTGTTTTTTTTTTCATAGTTTGTAGTGTAGTGTGCTACTTAAAAAATTGCATAGTGCATGCATTGCATCTTTACTGCATTGCATAGTGCAATAAAGAAAAACTGTTGTTCGCAGTGATTTCTGGTAACTATTTTATATCAAATAATTATCGAACATAATTATCAAATAATACATAATTTTTCACTTTCCACACTTTCAATTGTGAATATGCACTCATCAAACATTGATACTATTTCAATAGAAGGAAACATATTTTTTCTGTAATTTTCGATACAGCACTTTATGTCTTAGAGGTAACGAAATAGCATTAAACCTTAACCAAATTGAAAATATCTGATAAATTCCCAGCTTTTCATAAATTAAATATTTCCTGTCAAGAAAAGGATAAAAAGTTAAAGGTTAAAAGAATAAATTCATAAAAAATGGTTCAAAATAACAAACTGACTCATGTAAAAATGAATAAATATTTCTAAATATTTCTTCTAAGCCAATAATAATCTTAATTAAACATTTGTATTAGCATTGAGAAACATTTGAAACAAAAAATAACTGGGCATAAACTAGTAATCAAAATTTTAAAAGTAAAATTTGATTTGAAGAATTATTACAAATGAAAAGCATAACTAAGCAATAAGCATTTTTGTTATCTAAAAAATCCCCTAATAGTTTTAAGCTGCACTAATGATATTCAACTTAAATATGAATCAGATAAAAATTTAATTGTTATACAGCCTGTCATTTCAAGTCAATTACTAATAGATACTTATGCAAGGATAGATTTGTTCAACTTCAGAAATACTTGTTGTGTAACAATTATGAAGAAATAAAAACATAAATAGCAAGGAAAATAAACCTGAAAATAACCACTCACCATCCCCTATCTGGCGAGTCAAGGAAAAAAAGTGGCTCCTTAAATTAAATAAGCAACCAATCATTTATTCCCATTTTTTTTTTTAAATTTTTGAAAATTGATTAATGATAAAAAAAAATATCAATGTAAAAAAGAGACTCTAGAAAATAGAATTTTCATTAAAATGTCCGATGTCTCCATTCAAAATATTGATCCTTCTTATTCCATCAATTTGTGATGGAATTCCATCAATTTGTTCTTTTTTAATTATTCACATATTTCAAATTGTAATGTATACATTTAATGCATCTTACACTCCGAAATATTTTTAAATAAAGTTTTTTAAAGTCAGTATGGTTAACTAAATTTTGTCACATATTTATATTACAGTATACTTTCAATATCTCAAAGTTTAAGGGACGCTAAAAATTTTTTTCGAGATAACAAGTTCAGAACTAAATATGTTCTAAAAAGTAGAAAAATATATTCAAAAATATTACTCTAGAAAGTAGTCATGAAACATATGAATAAGTATTAATACATATGTATGTAACGACAGTTGACTATAAGTCTAAACACAACAGGAATAATTTTATTTTTGAAACAAAGACAAAAATAATTATGCATTAAATAGAAAACAATTAGCGTACAATAAAATTAGACTGTGATGTAAACAAAAAAAAACCATTTTCTGTTTCAAAAAAAGAAAAGACATAACAAGGTTTTGAGAAGAAACTTTTTGACATAGGAATTCAAATTGACAGAATGCTAGAGGAAAAATACATTTTTGACAGAACAAGGTTTTTGAGATAACGAAGTTTGAGATATCAAGAGTATACAGTATTTTTATTGTTGAATTAACTTTTTATGGCTGCACATTATTTAGTATGAACTTCTAATAAATTCATATTATCCAATATGAACTTTTTTAAAATATAATTTAATCTAAGCAAAAAACAGTTTGCCAAAAAATATGATTAAATGAAAAGGATCTATTGGCTACAAAGTCACTAGAGTTTACTGGCCACTGGTTAACTTAAATTTTCAGGTCTAATGGAAAAGCTGCAAATCAATATTTGCTGAGATAAGGATTAAAATATACATGCAGACCAAAACTAAAAATGATTGTTTTTTTTAAAGTTTTCATTAAAAATAATAATCGAAATAATAAATTTACAGTATTAATAAGAATCATACAAAACTGTGTGATTGGTATGAACTGTCTCTCCAAATTCAATTCTTGATAAGTATGCATTTGACCCCTGGGTTGCAGGTTATGCATCTCCACTTCAGGCTGATTTCCAAATAACACACAAATCATGTGCTGGCATTAACTAACATAAGTAGTTGTACTTACCAAATTTAAATTTTTTACTTCCAGGCCCCGAGTCTGATAGAATGTAGTCCATTATTTTTCTAAAAACCACAATATCACAGTGGACAGATATGGTCAACTCTCCTTCGGGCTCACTGTCTAAACAGTCTTTGAAATAAGGCATGCGGCTGATGAGAATGTCATAAGGACATGAGAATTTTTCCTCCAGGTTTTTGCAATCATCAATCACTCGGATGCAAATTTCTTTTCTATAAAGAAAAAGACAAATTATTTCATAAGCATGAAACAAAAGTTGCAAAAAAAAATCTTGCTAGTAAGGTAAAAAACAACACCATAGCTGCCAACAATAGAAATCAAAAATTAGGAACACTATATGCGAAAAAATTATACGCACCAATTACGAGAGTAAGACAAAAATTTAACTATTAAATAATAACATTAATAGAGATATGTTTAAATACCTTATATAAATTAGTAAAAAAAAATATATATAAACGCTATCTTTTGTGGGAAATTTATAATATTAATATTTTATAATTAGGAATATCAGTATAATAGTTTAAAAACAACCATTACCCTTTAATATATAATTCTTCTTCTACAAACAGGGTGCGTAGCCAAATCTTTGAATCAAAAATAAGCACTTTTTAAAAACTTTTCAAGGACTTTACAAAAATTTTCAAGCACTCAAAAAATTCATATTCAATGAATGATATTATTGAAAAACAAAAACTTTTTATAAACAGTTTTATCGTTAAAAAAACCCAAAAAGAAACGGGCGTAAATCGAAACAATCAGTACTTTCCCACATCACCGAGTGAATTCAACTTGACCCTGAACTCAGAACAAAAGTACCCGTACCCCCTACGTCAAAAAAAGTGTTAGAAGTAAAATAAAATAAACAAGAATAAAATTAAAATAAATTAAAAAGAAAAACATTTCATAAGAATCTGATATTCTCTATCCGAATTGGAGCACTCGGGTTTCGGTTTCAAATGTGCGCGCATGCGCAAGTCATAACGTGGGTACAACATGAAGTCCGCGTGAATGATTACGTAGCAAACTCCCCATTTTTTCGTGAAATGCATGGGATCCACCAGATATCACTGAAGGGAGAAAGAAAAAATTATTCAGAAAAAAAGCACTTTTTTAAAAACGCCAGCTGAAAAAAGCACCTTTAAAAGCTTTTAAAAACGAAATCCCCAAAAAAGCACCTTTAAGTACTTTTTACAAACGATACGCACCCTGTACAAATTATAAAACACAGGTAAATATTAAACTACATCATAAACAAATATTTCTGATGCAAGTGTTTAAATACTACAATACATTGTTTAAAAAATAATAATAAGTTGTTTAAGATTCAATTTAGTGAAATGATTAGCAACGGCTATTGGAATAGTATTTTCCAATAAAAAGCTACTAAAAATTACTTCAGCACAATAATCACATGAAGCGCGATTGCGGTGATCAGAACAAGGGATTGGTTTAAAACGAAAAATACTGCAATTTTATGAAAATTCGGATTTTTTATAAAAATATCAGATTTTCAATTTTGATTTAAAAATTAGGAACAAATCTGAAAAATTCTGGACAGTTCACAGATTGCACAAAATGTGTAATAAATACTTGCAGCTTTTTGTACACAGAAGAACTTCTTTGGTATCCTAGATCCTTTGACAAATGTTTATAAATAGGGTTAAGGAATCAGTAACTAAAAGAGTTCTCTAGTTCGGTCCTTTTGTCACTAGCCAGATCATGGGTTATAAGATTTTTATTAAATACTTCAAAAATTTTGAAACTAAAGCAATTAACATGATATTACAGCACTTATATTTTTGCAAGCTAATTAAAAAAATAAATGATCTTAAACTTGATAATTCTTAATTATGTTTTATTAATCAGGGCAAAATTTACCTATTTCCCATTGGTACAGTATTTCATAAAAAGTTTAAAAAAAAACCATTAAAATAAAATTAGAAGAATAATTAACTACGGAGAATGTAAAAAACATTCATAAATCATATTGCCGTAAGCTATTTTTTTAACTGCCCTGTTTCTGCTGCAGTGATAATTGTAAAAAAAGAAGAAAAAAAAAAGAGAGAAACCTTAAAAGTTAATTTTAGGAAGAAAAAAAAACAGATCAAAATATCAGCTTAAGACAATAAACAAAGTATTATTAAAAATTTCCCACAATGATAAAGAAAAGCATGTACAAAATTAAACTATGGATGCATTAAGAAATACTTCATTGTTCAACTGTTAAGGATGTCATAAATCCAGCATTCTTTTTCCAATTTTATTTCTCTTCAGCAGAAAAAAACTTGCAACTCAACTAGAAATGTTTAAGCTGAACCTTTCTTCACTGATGTATATAAATAGCAAAGAAAAATAAAAATGTCTCTTTTCTACCCATTACTGTGAAAAAACAAATCAGATAATCTTTTTATATTCAGCTGACTGTGATCTTTCACTGGCTTGGATAAACTAATTATTACATACTGATCAAAGTCAGATTTTAATTGTTTTAGCCCACTGTTAATTTTGAGCCCTGCATGTAAAAAGTATAATGTTAAATCAAATTTTACACTAGGTATCTTTTTTTAAAGTTATGGTAATTTTACAATTAATCAATTTACTTATAGCAACAACTAATAATAAAAGAGCTACTAGTGATTTAGAATAAATTTCTTAAATTATAGACTAGAAAAAAGAAGAAAAAAGCAATAAAACTATAAAGTGCATTACCATCTAGGTTTCTTTTGACAACAGATGTTTCAACTAAATTTTTATTAAAAATAACTAAAAATAAATAAATGCAAGACCTACTTTCCACTTAATATTGAACTATCTCCCGATCCTCCAGCAGCTGAACTACTTGCTTCTGCATTTTTACCTAAAATATTAAATGTTCCTAATTTATTATTTTATTTGCGAGATAATTTGTTAGATTTATGACATCTATTTATCAAATTCACATACATAAGGTATAAATATAATGAAAAATATAAAGTAGAATTTAATTAGGTTGAGAAATACTTTGCATAATTGAATTATAAAAGCAACATAATTTTTTTTATCTATTTTTATCAGTAAACCCTGAAATACTTGTTTTCGTTTAAAATAAATAATGATAATGGTATACTATTTTCTAAGTAATGAAACATTTATTTGTCACACACATAAAATCATGAATTCTAAGCAGTTACGCAGTACAGAGTTTTATTTAAAAGACCTCACATATATAGCAAATTGTTGTTGTAGTTCATTTACGTCGCACTAGAGCTGCCCAATGTGCTATTGGCCACGGTCTGGGAAACATCCCTGAGGATGATCAGAAGACATGCCATCACAATTTTGATCCTCTGCAGAGGGGGTGGTACCCCCACTTCGGTAGCCTGATGACCTGCACATGATTTTGACACTTTACGGTAGAACAGTTTAACGAGGATCAATACTGCACACCCTTGGTCCCCATGCAGACTGATCTAAGTGTACACCCATCCGCACACAGCCAGTGATGCTTGACTTCGGTGATCTGCTCGGAACTGTGTCTTAACGATCAGTCCACTGCGGGACACATATATAGCAAAAGTATGACAGCATGTAATCAGTGTACGCATTTAACAGTGGTCGATTAGTCCACCAACTGAAGTTTGACTTGAAGAACCATAAAATTATAAGTGGTCATATACTGTATCAACAATTGGTGTAAAGGAATGGTACCGGACTAACAATCGATCTAAAGGAATGGTATTCTTTTTTTAATTTTCAGTTTTATATTTATAACTGTTTTTTATACAGAATAACATATTTCATCATAATTGTGACATTGCGTATTCTCTATCTTGTAATTATTCATTAAGCTTTTATTTTTAAGTCTAATAGCTCAAGTAAGCAGATCAATGGATATGTGTATGGATTAGTAATTATTAATAGGTACTGCTTTTATGGACTATTGACTGAAACTTATTTCTCTGCTCCTGATATAATTGAAATTGATGGAGGGGAGAAGGAGAAAATAAGTAAGAAAAATAAATAAATAATAAATAAATTAATATCAACTTTGGTGAACAGAAGTATTTGGACTAAACTTGCAAGACCATATTTAAAAATCTTTAAGAGAAACATTTTTTCTCTTCTTAAATATAAAAGATATAACAATTTTAAAAAAATGAATAAAAATGTTACCTAACAATCTAAAAATCAAATTAATCATTCAAGTAAAATATAAATAACTCATTATATAATAAATATAAAGTAGTTTCAAATTGCATATTATATTTTATAATAATAAATCTAGTATTCTTAGTGAGAGAAAAATATTTTCTAAATAAGGCAATTAAGTTTACTTTGCTACGTTTTACAAAGGCTATAGTTTCTAGAATAAAAATTGATTTATTATGTAAGTAGACCTTCTGTTTTTTTAACATTATAATGGTTTACTGTGAGTGAAATGTTTGACTCTTGAGTTTTTACTTGTTAAAAATGAAACTTTTATTGCCTAGGTAAAAAATGCAATATTAAATGCAAAAAAATTTTTTTTCAGTCAGGAATAAAAATTTTTCTCAACTTAGTTTTATTTCTTCTGTCTTTCTCTTTTATAGTTTTAATTTGCGGACATGGTTGTAAACAAAAATACAGAACTCAATGATAAAAAGTTTTATTAAATGCACTTATGATATTAAATGGATCATTAATAAAGTGATATAGTTTTTTTTATCATTTTATGAATTTCTTTCTGTGATAAAAAGAGTTAAAATTTTTTGGATCTACCAAGGGACACATTTAGGAAACTATGTTAAGACTCAAATATTTAAATTTGCTTAGATTTATTTTTCACTAGACATATTTGTCAAAAAATAAAAGTAATATCGGCAGAGCCGGATTATACCTTTCGTAGGCCCTAGGCACAGAGCCGGATTATACCTTTCGTGGGCCCTAGGCATAGCCGTTTTTGGGCCCTCCCCTCCTTCCCCCACTCCTCCCCTTTTTCAAAATATATGCTAAAATTTTCTTACATATTTTCTTTACATTTTTATTAATATAGATTTAAATTTACAAATTTGTTTATCGAACTATATCTGCAATACCGACATACTGCCGATATTGCAGTTGATATCGATAATACCNGCTTTTTTGCACATACACACAAACATAAGTTATTTTTTTAATATTAATTGAAAAGTTTTCAATTGATTATATTATTTAAAAAAATTTTTTTTTAATTTAATTTGAATAATAATTTTTTTTTTACAAAAAAAAATTTATTTTATATTTTGAATTAAAACGTGATTTAGTACTAGATATATTTGTTATTGCTAGAGGGGGGAGGGCACCAAAATATTTTCAGTGCTTAGGGCCTCAAGAGGTCTTAATCCGGCCCTGGTTAAGACTCAAATATTTAAATTTGCTTAGATTTATCTTTCACATTATTATTTGTCAAAAAATAAAAGTAATTTTGATCGTTTTTAATTACTTTTATCATTATGTCAGACTTTACGTCCAAGTTAATAAGCTCGTTTGTATTCTTTGCCATTTTGATTTTTTAAAGACAACACTAATAATGAAAAAATGATGACAAACAAAACATTACACCAAAAATTACCTGTTTTAGACTCCCCGCTTTTATGACCAGTGCTCCTTGCACTAGAGGGCTTTGCACTTTTTTTAGGATTACGAGCAGAATGTTTCACAGTTTTTTTAGCGGGAGCACTTGTTGATGATGACATCTAATTTGTAAAAAAAAAAAGATTACCAATACATCCTTTGAAAACATTCCTTCATTATCAACAAAATAAATTATAGCTCCATTGAATTTACTTAATAATTTATTATTTGATTTTCTCAAAGGCTAACTCATCACATACATTTCCTACTACCAAAGTTTGAAATCTGAGATTTTTTAGAACACTTAGGCACTTAATGAAATGTCAAACACTGGCAGGCAAAGTAAAGAAATAAACATTTCACACATTGCCTAGGGATTCAACAGAACACTAAATGATAAACTGACAGCCTACGAAACTCATCAGGCATTCTATAAAACATCTAGGTTTGTTTCATGCACTGCAGGTAATGTAATGATTAGACCTCATTATTCCTAGATTCTTTCAAAAATTGATTTGTTATTTTAAGAAATAAGCTATATTTTAAATGAGCTACATTTAAACAATAACTCTCATCTTAATCATACAGTATATAATACTCAATAGAATTTCTAAAGTATACTTTTCCTACTTCAAACTTTACTTAAAAATTCCAGGCATTTAATAAAATGAAGATTTTTTTGTTGGTACTTGGATGGAAAAAGTTGATAAATTTTAGCCAATAGTTCACGAGAAACCAAATCGTCATAGAAAAGGGGGACCAACTCGAAGGGTATATTTCCACTTCGCGATCTGCAACAGCAACTACAATCACCAATTTTTTAAAACAGGAAAAATTAAAAAAAGAACATATATAGATGGGGATGGTTATGAGTTTTACCCTTCGAATTTGTCCCTTTCTGTGATTTTTTTTAGGTTCTCGGAGGCTGCTGCTCGGAAGTTGCCAAGACTTGGCGATTATTCTACCCCAGATCACAATCTGAAAATCTCGCTGAACTCGCAACCACCCTTTTGGATGGGGATTTAAATATTTAGATCTGTGGCAGAATGATCACCAAGTCTTGTCAACTTCCAGGCAGGATTCCGCAAGAAACTAAAAAAACATCACAGAAAGGGACCAGCTCGAAAGGTACAAGTCGTAGCCAACCCCGGGCAAACATCTACACATTTTTTTAAAGAATTTCGCAAGTTTAAAATCTATTTGACACCTTGGTGATTGTAGTTGGCATCACGATATGAAAATATACCCCATGATCTGTAGCATGCCCCGTGATCATGGGGTATATTTCCGTATCGTGATGCCAACTACAATCACCGAAGTGCAGAATAGATTTTGAACTTGTAAATTCTTTAAAAAACACATGTAGATGTTTGCACGGAGGTGACTACGAGTGATACTGTTTGAGTTGGTCCCTTTCTGTGATGTTTTTTTTACTTCAGTTTCTTGCAGGCTGCTACCCAGAAGTTGTCAAGACTTGGCGATTATTCTGTCGCAGATCACGATACGGAAACCATTCCAGATCACGATACGAAAATTACCCCTTTTGGGTAAACCACTTAAAATTCTTCGAAAGTTAAAAAAATAAAACTTTGGCGCCTTTGCGAAAGTAGTTGACAAGAAAAGGTGCAGATACAGGAATATTCTCCTCACAAAATGCCTATGTAAATAAAGTGCTACTTTTATCATAGAGCCGGTAACGTTTAGAACTATTACTTATAATTATTGAAGAAGATTGTATGTTAACATAACATGACATAATATTTTGATATAATTTATGACTATTTAAAACATTCTTAGATAAAAAGCCTCGTAATTGATTAGCTTTAACTCTTAGTTTCACATTTCTATCTTGAAATGAAATCTAGGGTATTGGTAGGAACTCTAAAGACTATTTTAAAATTTTTTAAGGAGATTATTACAATGGTACTAAGAATAACAGCAGGTAATCAAAAACACAAGGTACATAAAGAATTGTAACTAGTAACATAAAATTTTAAAATGGAAACTATCAATCAATTCGTAAACAATCAATTAACCAATCAGATTATGGATGTTGTTGCCACCTTAAAAATTTATTTATAAATGTTTTGAGGTTATGTGCGATTTCAAACTTTTACGCTTTACTTAATTCAATCAATAGCGATCACCAGTGAGAGAAAACCTTATTAGTGAATTCTTGCAACACCAATCAAAATTCGATTCGATATCATTACTCATTTTCCCTTATCAGTGGTATGAATTACGTGTATTAAGTGCAGTATGAATGGTGCTTTGAAGATACTGCACTCGTTGAATGTTATTCCCGCATGTCCGATGAAAATCGATCAAGAAGGAACATTTAAATAAATAGTTCGAGGAAGAATATGTTTATTTATTTATAAAATATGCTTATTTGACTTTTAAGTCCTTAGGCTTCTTGTTATCCAATATTTTCTCAAGGGATAGCCTCCCAATGAAGTGAATCTCAGCAGTAGCTGGTTGATACGAGTGCTGCTGCCGGCTCGCACCGACCACAAAGTTGACGTAAAATATGCTCAGTGGTTGATGGATCAGGTGCCCTGACCTGACGGTTCAGGAGTTTAGACCTGAGTGCCAGAAATTTATTGTTTTAAAATTAAATTTTGAATTTTTATTTTTAAACTAGAATATGAAACTCTCATTTGCGTATAGATGGCAGCACTAAAGAACTGCTTGACGCAAAAAAAGTAGTATTTCCCATCTCTCAGGATAGATGCTGGCTCAGCTGCTTGGAAAATGTGCGTTCATAAGGTGTTTTCACATTTATTCAGATTAGAAATATTCTTACATATCATTCATATTTTCTAATAATCTATAAGATTATTAGTTATTATTAGAATTGATTAGAATCAAATTAGGATTTAAAATCTTCAAGGTTAATTCTCTAATTTTCTGCAAAATTTAGCTTAAAAAGCCGATCAATTAACTTATGGGTTTCTTTACACTTTTACGTCCACATAAAATCTTCGAAAAGAATTTTTAAAAATTTTTGTAAAATATAGGCTTAAGAGCTAGAAAAATACCTTCAGAGTTTATTTTCTTTAGAGTGCTTTCGAAATAAGCACAGATACAAATTTTCTCTGTATTTTCCTTTTCTGTACTTATAAACACATATAGATGTAAAGATATATTGTATTGAAAGATATTTCTTTGATATGCTACTTTTTACATCGATTTTTTGCTACGTTAAATGCACCAAAAATATGTATTTTTATATATCGTAGAAATAGTTCAATTTTAATATCATCAGTTTTAGTGTAATCTAATAAAGAATGTTTAAACTTTTCATTCATATTATTTACATCTCCATTTTTTTCCCTGTGAGACAAGTAAAATTATTATGTATGCCAAAGAAAAACACATTTATTTTTCAAATGCATACATAAGTCTTGTTTAATCCAAAAAATATTTGAATACTAATTTCATTTTTTTCTTTTTGTTAATTTAAAATCTCTGTGATATGTCTGTAAAAAGTCTGCAGATATTTTAAAGCAAAAGTAAAATTTTTAAAATATCTTAATTTTTTTGTAGAAACTCTTATAGAAAATGTTTTTTCTTGGAAAATTCTTAAACTATTTTTTCGTGGAGAACCTGCCACCTGACAGGGGAAAATATAAGTGCATAATTTATATCTGTAACCTATCATCCAACTTTCTTTTTTTTAATATATAAAATTCAAAATTGTTGATATTATATAATTTTTACAACATGTTGCTTTTGTTACTTATGCCTCTTGCCAATACCAGCTATCATGCTTGAAATCTTGCTAATTTGTTAAGCAAACGGTGCGTATTTTAGTGGTGCCATCTATTGGTAAGAACAGGATTTCACCCACTCACACGTCACAGATCGTTTTGTAGGGAGGACTCCTTCCAACACCTTTCATCCATCGTAATTTTGACCTGACCCAGAAAAGAACCATCTTCAATTCAGTACCCCCACAGGTTTTGATTTGTTATGGGGACTTGGTGATCCTGGCAGATTCAACGTGCACCAGTTACCATTTAATACACGGTAATTCAACAGCCAACGGGGTTCGAACTTATATTCTCACGAACACGAGAGCAACGACCTACCAACGAGGCTGCCCCCGACATTTAATGCTATTTTTGTTAATAAATGCTCGGATTGATTATCAATATTCGAAACAATTATTACTCATTTCCAAAGTTTTTAGTGTCCTTTTGAAATTATGGTGATTGTGAAAATACAAGAGGACGAGAAATATTTTGGTCATAGTTAAAACCTATTATTTTTTTATCGCAATACATCGCAAATTTATTTTGGAAACTGTTGAAATGCTCTTTGGAAACCAAAAAATGGACATTCCTGCTGAATTCTGCTCTAGCACACAAAGCAAAAAACACTTAAGAAAGGTAAAAAGCACATTTTCTTGACTTTCTTACATTAAAAAAAAGTCCATTACTTTATTAATCATACTTTGATTTTATGAATTTTTCCGTTTAGTCAATTTGAAAACAAGGATTTGTGCTAAACCTCACATGATTTGCCTACCTAGAAAATTCTTCGAGCAATAAATCGTACAAAATAATGGACGGTGTGTTGCGGCACATAGCAGGAAATTTGTGACAGATTCACAGCTCTGCATTAAGATCAAAACTGGTCTACTTTTAAAATTTGTAAGGATTTTACAGTTTTGTGATGTTTTTATGTTTAGCTGAAAATTTGGTTGCTGTATTTTAATAAGATTTAAAATTATGATTTTGTTTCTTGTAATTAAGTTCTTATTTTTAAAATACAGTTCAAGTTCTAAAATCAGTATGATTTGCTGTCCTTTTAACGTTTTATTTTTCTTACAATTACATTTAACGGGAAAAAAAATATGCGACTCGGCTGTAATAAGAAGAAACAGGGCTGTCAGTGGCGCACCTAATATAGGGTTTTTGGTTAGCCTCTCCCCCTTAAAAACCGCAAGCGAGGTGTTTTTCTTTATTATTAATTCGATTATCTGAAATTCATCAATGCAAAAAAATTATGATCTTGAAACTAATTTGAGAAGGAAAGTAAGATATTCTTTCTTATTGAGTAAATAATTTTCAAACAAAAATTATTATGAAACAGTATGAAATGGACATAAGACTTAAAATTTAATGATGAAATTTTTTTTTCTTTTTTACCAAATCTAGTTTTGTATTTTAACAATGTAAATTAATAAAAATTTTTTTAATTGCGTAATAAAAGTTTTTTTTGATGAAAAATATAAAAATATCTATGCTACAATGTTATTTAAAATAGTTAAGTGCTCAAAATTCCTTAAAATATCAAACTAAGATTATTAATTTTAAACCCCCCTAGAATGAATGACTGAAACATATTAATTGGGTATAATATGAAAAAAACACAACTACTTCGATTTAGTAGGAACAACATATGACGCAATGCTAAACGAATGGAATTTAGTTGTTGTTTATTTAGTTATTGTTATTAGTAGTTGTTGTTNTGATTGGAATTATCTTTCGATTTACGAATTTTATATTTATGTGCAAAAATTTTTCAGTTTGATTAATTTCTCGAAATATAGCAAATTGCGCATAAAGTAAAATTACCCTCAAAAGTTCCAATTTTTAGAACTATTAGTACCATATTTCTAAGATTGCGGCTACCCCATATATTTTATGGGTAAGGAATCCAAATCCGTCCAAAGGAAAAAGTATGTTTATTTAGAGAGAGTAAATTTTTGTAGTCTGATTTGGTAACTAAAAATTTCGTCAGCACAGATTAATCTGCATATTTGAGGTCCCCCCTTTGAACCATTGAGTCCTATTATGAGAAAATCCGATTAAATTAAAAAATTATTGAGAATGCTTTTTTTTTTTTTTTTNTTTTTTCTTTTTTTAAGAGATGACATTTTCTGACGAGAATGATCTAAGTCACGTGGTAGAAAGACCTGGAAAAATGGACATAAGACTTAAAATTAAATGATGAAATATTTTTTTCTTTTTTACCAAATTTAGTTTTGTATTTTGACAATGAAAATTAATAATTATTTTATTAATTGCGTAATAAAAATTTTTTTTGATGAAAAATATAAAAATATCTATGCTGCAATGTTATTTAAAATAGTTAAGTGCTCAAAATTCCTGAAAAAAAACAAACCAAGATTATTAATTTTAAACCCCCCTAGAATGAATGACTAAAACATATTAATTACATTTTAAAATTTTTGGATCAGAAAGTAATACAAATTACATTTAAAATTTTAATACTATCGACTGGTACAGCAGATTTATTTTGGTTTTGCAGACAAAAGTTCAATCTTATTTTTCGATTCAATGGTGTTTTTTTTAAATTTTTTATTTTATTTCTTTATTAAATGTTATTTTTATTGGTGATTTAATATCAATAAGCAAAAATTGTTGAAATCAAGAGTCTTCTTCATTTTAATTCTTCTGTTACAGAAGTTTTCTTTTTTAAATTAATTAATTTAAAATCTTCTTTTTCTTTTATGTATTACTAAATTCAAAGTTTCAGTTAATAAGTTTTCTGTTTTTTCTCTTAATAGTTCAATTATTTCTCCAGTTTTATAGTATTAGACATTCTTACCTTCTGAAATCTGAATAACCTATACGATACAACATTTGAGTATAAATATTTTATTTCGCATTCTTTTTCTTTATTTAATTAATAAATTCAAAGTTACAGTTAACATGTTTCTAGTTTATTCCTTCAGTATTACAGTTATTACTCCATATTTTTAGTATTAGACATTCGTAATTTTTAAAACTTGAAAACCCATATGATAAAAGATTTGAGCATAAATATTTTATTTCACACTCTTTTTTTTTAGGAATTAATAAGTTCAAAACTTCAATTAACTAGTTTTTGGTTTAATTTAAATAGTATAGTAATTTCTCCACCTTTTTAGTATTAGACATTTTTACCTTTTAAAACTTCAAATTCTATACGATGCAGCATTTGAGTACAAATATTTTATTTCGCATGCTGCCTATAAAGTTTAGAATTTTTTAACGGTGTTGCAGATCAATACAGATGT